AATCTTCCGTTGGTAGCTCATTCTTTTTTGAACTTATTTCCTTGTTTTATGTCCATTAAGTTCAATAGAAGTTTGATTATTGGGTTTTATAAACAAACCTAAATTCCCTCTTCAACTATGAGTTAAGGTACTCTGGGACACAACATTTTCCAAAACTTGGGAATTTCTTAAAGGTGACAAGGCCAAAACAGAATATTGTTACCGCTTGGATATAAAATAAAAAAGTCACCCTTATTAAAGTACTGGTAATGCTGGATTAAATCAACTTAGCTTGATGGTCATATGATAAAGTAACATTACGATTAAATTCATGCCGAACTCAAGAACCAACTAAACAGTTCATTACTGAAACAAGAAACACAATTAAGAATTGAAACGTCGATATTAAAATATTCAAAATGACCAGAGAATTTTCTCGAACTTCTGACGAAACACTAAAGACTGGAGTTGCGTAACCAGATATCTTCATTTCGTATATTTATGCAGTTTATCTGTCTAAACACTGCGAAGACCTAAACAAAACTGCATTCTTATTACGACTTGAAATATAAATCTCCCGATCGAGCTCCACTTTTCCTTTTCCCTAATTTTGATCTCGATTATACGTCTGTCCTCATGATCAAAGTTAAGCCATGAAGTTTTACATTCTATTGACTCAGTTTTATTTTTCTGAGAATAATTCATATTAATATTTTTCATACAAGATCCCTTTCGTACAGTATTATCATATCTGTAAACGATATAAACTGAACATTTAGCTTTTCAGTGTATCTCTTCTTTCCTGTAAAAACACAATGCTTTTATTAGTTTTTTCCAGTTGCAATTCCCCTCATACACAATCCAATTTGCAGTTACAGTTAGAGCAATGGACAGTAGTATACAACTTCATAGGCTTAAAAAGAAAATATCAAGTGAATTACATATTACAGTTGAAATGATTACCTTGTTACCTTTGGATCTTATCATTCTAGATTTCTCTTCACCACATCTTTTTCATTTCTTATCTCTCCTCATTATCTCTTTTATGAAATAGAGTTAGATGCTATTTATGATTATCCTCTCTTTTTATTTTCTGCATAAAAAATGATAAAATTTTCATATAGCAAGCAAAATTTTATATAATTTTTACTTTAAGAGTATGAATCAGTAAGTAAGTCAAATAGAGTCAAGTTTTAAAAAGGTTCTTTTGTTTTAACCAAGATTAGTTAAGACAATCTCATGTTTCACCTTTAAATTATCCAACCAATTGAATTATCCTCGCATCATAAACCCTTTTCGGTGTTTTCCCTAATGAAATATATGTATCCGGTATATAGATCGTGATTTTACGCTAACATGGCTCAAAATAAACTTTTTAGAACTTTATACGAAGAGCCAGAATTATTGAAATGTTAAAAATAATTGTGAGATAAGCAGTGATTACTTGCACAGAAATAACGAAGAAAATTAACAATACATAACTGATTTACTTGAATACAGTATTCGTTCGGCTTACCTTTGCTTAACCTGCAGTTTCAGTTAGTTAACACAGATAAATCACAAGTGGTTTAATGATTCAAAAGCTGTAGAATATGAATTACATTTCTTACGAATGCTACAGACATTCGTGTGATAAGGACTTCAAGGGAAGTCCTTATTACGTATGATTAATTTTGGTGGCTTTAGCCTCAATGACTACCATATAAAATTAAATTTATTTTAGGCTGTAAGACAAATTCGCCATTAATTTTGATTAGCCCAACAAGCTGCTATAACATTAATTTTAGCCACTACCAAGAAATCTTTAAATATTTAATTTACAATTTTGTGCAAAATTAAAGGTTCATTTTTTTTTTATACTTGCTGCCACCAGGCGAATAAGTTTACAACAGCTATATAATTAGATATATATTTGGTTTTTGTATGTCATTTGTTAGGCGAATAGCTTTTTATAGTGATAACTTTACCTTTGCTTATGAAATGAAGGAAATTTTTTCATTTTAATTGACCTCCAATCTATCCTCACAGTCATGATAAATGCTGAGTTTTGGATCAATTGTTTTGATTTCGATATATCCTTTGATTTGAAAATGTCCTTGTGAATCGATCTTACCTTCCGCTAATAAGTTGTCAGTGTCAATACCTGTTGAGATAAGAACCGTTAAAAATGATGAAAGTTTGTAAAAGTCGTCAAATTTAATCCAAAAAGTATTACAGCTTCAGAATATTCCAGCAAGCTAATATATTATCGTATAGTAATATTAAAAGCTACATGTCTGACTTTGTACGAATTCTCAATGCTGTCTTTCAAACATAGAATGTTTTATTTTTTATTTTTTTGAGTTATTTTTCAAAAAGAAAAAAAAAGACCACAAACACTGCTTATCTCGTTAGTCTGGTGTAAAATAAAATATTTTTAAAAAGTGAATTTTGAAATGACCAAAAACTGTTGCAGATATTGAAGCTATCATCAGAAATTAAAATTCAAGTTTCAATTTAAAAATTAAAAAAAGATTGGAAAAAATGTGTGGGAAGATAAACATCGATCATCATCATACATTTTCACTTTAATATTAAAGACGGGTTTATCATTGTATGGGGAATTACCTTGATTCCCTCACTTTAAATCCTACCGATAATACTTAAAGCTACTTAAAGGCTATCAGAGTTGATAAACAGACCAATAACTCCGTCATTGTTTCTAGTGCTAGAAATGACGATTTTCCTGATACTAAATCTTAATGCTAAAATATTCATAGTTGAAAAACCAGTTAAACTGAATGAATTATGCAATACTGAACAAAAATGAAGTGTGAATGAATTGGATTAAAACTTGAACTAAAGCAAATCGTTTGTAGCGAACCGGTCGGAATTAAAATTAAGCTGAATTCCGGCTAATCATGTGATAGGAATTAGAAGTGAAAGGAATGAGGAAAAGAAAACGCAATAAAATACAGAAAAGTTAAAATTTTTGAATCTGACTAATCATCAGACCTTTTAAGCAATGGTATTGTTTACTATAATGTTTGAAGAAATTATTGTAAAAACGATTGAACCTCTTAAATATCAAAATCAAGTTTTCTAATAATATTCTAGCAATTTAGCTAGCAAAAAAAAACGGATTGACGAAATATGAGTAAAGGGAAAGGAGGTGTTGAAAGAACTGTGGTTAACTTGGATCATCAGAACGTTTATTCAAAAAATATAAATCAATTGGAAAGTTCTCGTGATTTAACAATTTTAAATGTTGTCTAATACTCCGCGTACTTTCGCTTACTTAAAAGTTAATGTTACAGTTAATTATGAAAGAGATTGTATGGATTGAGTGAAGAATGGTAATGAAATGATTCTTAACTGTTCAAAATTCAAACATTTTTTACAATTATTAACATCTCTGTTCTGAAAAGAAAAGGTATAAAAAGCAGTTATAATACAAGAGAAAGTATAAATGTGAAGACTTTTTTTTAAAACTATTGATGAAATTAATAATCCGAAACAAATTCTGATGAATTTCTGTTAGTATATATAGTTTTTGTTCGCAATCAGCTAAACAGGCATATTCCAGAAATACGACATTAGAAATTAATTAGAAAGCAAAATAATATAGAAGAGACGAAGACAATCATCAAATCACATTCTGATACAAATACCTTTCTTTTAAAGAAAGCAATTGGTTTTATCATCGATAGACAACTGTCACGCTGATTGCAGTTTACATTAATTCCAAACAACTGCATATGGATTAATGAAATTTGCTGCAGTTCCAATTCCCCATACATTGGTTCTTCATTAGTTTAACACTTGAATCGTTTGACATGATAATTTTTCACGCTTATTCAGAATAGCAACTCTTCCCCTGCAAATGTCATAATTCAAATCATAATGTGAATTAGACTTTCTTCAAATTCAACTTAGTCTTTTCCAAACCACTCAAATTCACTACAATAATCATAAGCTTTTAAGGAATGATTTTCTATCGTTGACTTTTTCGTGAAGGAATAATCCAAAACGTTCAAATGTTCACCAGTTCCTTTCCACCACTGATCATAACCATAACGAACAATCAAAGATTCCATTTTATTACGATGCAATAAACCAGCGAAAAATCAGACCAAAGCATTAAATTAAGCAACAGCATCTATCTTCTAATTGCTGAGATAAAGACAAGGTTCTAATACTTTCAGTGCTCAAATTTAAATATTTTTGTTATTGGAAATAAAATAAACTGTATAGTATGACCGATTATTTCAATTGTTTTTCGACAACGTTCATAAACAGCCAGAATATTGGCCCAACGGGATAAATGACACTACCTGGTAAGTATCCCTAAATTTGTATTCTATTTAAGTATATATATTTTGTTCAAAGTATTGAAAAATTTTCATCCTACTTTATATACATTACAAACATTAATCTGAATTCGAATTGACACCTTTTAGAAGAGCTCTCCATGGTGTTATTTAGTTTGGGGTCAGTGGATAAACGCACTAAAGCGAGTATTGAAATCCAAATGTAATTAATTTTTATAACAAATTGCTGGAAAGAAGTACCTAAAGATATCACCTTAAATAAATAATCTTTATAGAATGTGATTTTTATTAAAATTAAAGAGAGAAAATTAAAGTTTATAAAATGTCATTTTTATTAGAATTGAAAATTCAAAATTTTAATTAGGATCAAAAAGTTAGTCTTTGTCTTGGTAGGAACATGATCTGGAGCTAGAAAAAGGACGGGAAAGAAATTAATAACGCTATTTTTCTAAGCTATCAATATCGAGATACAAATATAGGAAACAGCAATGACAACAGACATAAGCAAGCAATGATTGTGAAATTCATTGATTCCACATCAAAAGTGATGATCATAATGAGATAACTCTTTGTGGATCGAATTTGATGATTTAGTCAGAATGTATGGAATATTTCACACTCTTCGGCATATGCTAATTGTTTGCAATTGTCTGACAGTTGGATGGCGAATTATATCATGGGTTTTCATCTTGCTCCACTGTTTTGTCCCTTAAATCAGGTATCAATATTAATTTGCATTGATCCGATCCCTGTGATTACTTTGAATGGAACACAAAGCAATCATAGTGATCGGATCAATGATCGGATCAGCTTTCTTGATTCGTGAAATGCTAGTACTTATCAGAGTAAACCCAGACTTACTAACTCTTATTTCTAAAAAAGTAGTTTTCATTATCTCGTTATAGATATCCTTGAGTGATAGTATGACATTAGTGAAGAATCTTCCACTGATCTTTTCGGCGATATCAGGTCAATTTGACAAATCCGAGCTGCGCTGGACTGACATATCATCTTCTTATCCTTAAATTTTCAAAGAGAAAAAAGAGAGGCAGACCGCTGAAATGCAAGTTTAATTTGATAACCTAAACAATGTGTGATAATCGGCAAAAGAAAATTAAGCAAACTCACTCTGTTACGCTCGAAATGAAATATTAATAGTAAAATCGAAACTCAAGTATTCATCACAATTTGCAGTTTTTTTTTATCGCATTTACGAAATTTTTAGGAAAAAAACGGTGAAATTGTTAAGGTAAATAATATGTCCATTGGGTGATCAATTAATTATTCAGGTTGTTAAGATCAAAGAAGGACTTACCAAAGCAATATGATGTCTACAAATGCTCGTGCTTTTGATCACACTTGCTGTAACCATCACATCGTATGCTTCTCTTTGATGATTGCTAAAGCATCTTTTAAAGTATCCGCCTTCTAATTAATAGTATTAGTAGTAACAAAGCGTATTTTTCTTTTCTACTTAAAATGAATTTAAAAATAAAATTTCCGGAACTTTGATACTTTTTCTCTTCCAGAATTTTACCTACGTAATAAAAAGATTTTAAAGAACTACTCGAGACCATTCAAAAGTAATAAATGCATATTGGTAGCCGATTTAATGATGCTAGAAAAAAAAAAACTGAGAGCTAATCGAGAATAATTTCCATTATTTAATAAGACCGAGTAAAAAGCAAATATGTAATTGCGACTTACCACCAAAGTAGAAATTTCCATGATGAAATATTTGGCAGTGACATAGAGCTTATACAGCTTCTTTCAAGACAAGGATGCTTGGATGGAGTAGAAGTAGTTTCCTTCTGTATCTCTCAAATTTCATTCCTTGGATTCATTATCGACTTCATTTAATAGCTTGAATTTTCGAATCTTCTTCAGTTGATTCTTATGGATTAGTTTTGGAGATATTCGACATTCGTGCTATTTCAAGCACAATGGTTTAGATTTAGATATATGATCCTCGTCCGGGATGTGAAGGAGTTAGACATCAATTTTAGATTCCTTCCACACTTTTAGATGATTTTTGCCATCAGCTGAAGAACTTAGCTCAAGAGTTTTTCATTAGCTATAAGGAAAAACGATAGGATGATAAGTAAGGTATGATGAAGGAATGGGTTTCCCAACTAATTTTTCTTTTTTTTATTTATTTTACGAAACGATTGGAAGATATGCAGAATTACAGCAAAAACAGATGTAGAAGCAGTCTGTTAAAGTTTAGTTAGAATTTTACTTGAATTTTTCCAATTGCATGCGATTAAAAGATATTTTAATGTATTAAACTTTTAGTTAGACTTTTTGGACAATGAAGTTTGCACTTTGTTCCATATGGTCTAAATGTTTGTTATGTGAAAAATCAAATCCCTGCAAGGAAATGAATCGCAGATACTATCTGTAGGAATTTTGGTCGTAAACTCAGTTATGGGCTTTCGATCTTGACCGAACTATCAACATGTCGTAAGTTAATGTACACCGGTCCAAAAGACTTGCTTTAAAGCTCTTCAAATTGAATTCTATAAATTGATACTGAAATGGCAATATGAATGGAACTTAAATTTTAAAACTGTCAAAAACGATGTATGAAATTTTCAATTGTTTGAAAAAATTCTGGAGTTTCGATAAGTCGTTTGGATGCATATTTCGTTTTAACTATCTTTCAAATAATTATAATTCAGATGGAAATAGTTTAAACACTTCAGTACTTTAAGATACGACATTCAGTAGAGAATGATTATTAAAAAGTGACATAACAGCGGATAACAGCGACTTCTAAAGACAAACTTTCGCTACTGAATGATTTCGCTTCATTCTGCACGAAATATTTCCTTCCAAGTAATTATTTCAAAGCCAATAAAATTGGATAGTATTTGGTTGAAAGGAAATGTGCGATTGAAATTATGATTGAAGTAGCTATGTTATATATATGTATATATGTGTGACGATTGCAGAATAATTAGCATAATGGTGATCGTGCTTGCTTGGAAAGAAAACTGAAGCTATGGGGACATCATTTCCTTTTTTAAAAGTCTTCGCCTACCTTATTCTTCTTTTTCATTCTTTTCGTGCAACTGTACAAAAAACCTTTCTTCTTTTTCTTAAAAAAAATTTTTTTAACAAGTTAACCTAATTATAACTAACACTGTCATCGTTGAATGTCAATTTTAGGATCAGATATCAGTAAAAATCGGATATATTCGCACATAAATTTATTCCCTTATTGGCATTGATTAGCAAATTCGAAGCTTGTTGAGTCTCTTTTAAGAATATAGTGAAAATATCTGGGGAAATTCTCTGGATGCTTCTGAATAAACATTCATTCTTAGTCTATTAATGTGTATACAAATTATTTGTTTAATTTTTAAACTAGTACTTAGTTTTAACTTTTCATCAAAAATTTTAGAGAAAATCACCAGATAGAAGTGTTTTCTGAAAGCAAAGTAAGTATTCTCTGAAGAATTTTGTTACTGAAACTGCAATGACTGTTCTGTTGAGAGTTCTTTGCTTACAATCAAAGTATCTGAATTACCAAAATGCCCACACTTTTAGTATAGAGGCATTCTTTCTACAGAGATTCAGATGCTCTTGTTATTGTAACTTCAATTTGGATTTTAGCTTTCATTTGCTTTTGTTTTACTAATTTCATACGAAAATAATTTTTAAGGAGTAGAATTTAATAACTGATGATGAAAGATAGAAGTAATATTTTAATCAAAGCAATTATCGATTTGTAAAAACATGGTCAAATAAAAACATGGACCGCCGAAAGATATGAGTGGGCAGTATGATGCAGTCAAAAGGCGATCGATACCTCTAGATATTGTAAGACAAGAAACCTCTCGTCTGGATGGGTCAAGTTGCAAAGCATGACCGATGTTCTTCAGGATGTAATAGGAAAAGTGTTGGCTCATCCAACATCACACTGGGATCATGAGTAAATTCTACTTGACAAAGCGTGTTACGTGTGTCACTGATAACATATAGAGTTAGGTATTGCCGATTACTGTCGTGATTTCTCGGGAATGGCAGTATCCGATATGTATTTACACTCCAACAATAATAGTGTATTAAGGACCAATCAATCTTGTCAATAAAAATAGCATTGTGATGGTTCAATCATCAATAAATATTTATTGTAAAAAATATGTTACTGTCAAGCAAAATCTGAGCTCTATTCTGTCCTATTTGTTGATGATAAGAGATTCCAGTGTATCACATCACTGATAGTTCATGGCATTTTGCAATAAACTTACTTTTAGATATGCTTGCTTTAAATTTTAATGCATTTATTTGACTTTGTTAACAGAATCTGTTTATCTGGAATATCAAAAAGGCAATTATTTCATTCGCGAGATATTTTAATAAAATTGAAAAATTACACTGATAAGGAGATTTCTCTTTCGTGTATCACAAAAATTGGTGACGATGGAGTGATTACTGTGTATTAACACTTGTTATGTATTTCACACATTAAAAGTAGTATTTGCATAGCAATATTTTGAGTTTAATAACAGATACAACTGATATAGCGCATCTCATATCAATTTGATAAAGTCATATCAACAGCCTGAATTTAAGAATGCTACTATATTTGTGAAGTTTTTCTAAATTACTCGAATGTTTCGAATTAGATAATTTCTACATTTCATTATCCCTGTGCTTTTGAAAGTTTATTCTAACGGTACTCATATAATGGCTACTTCTTGAGCTCTTTTTTAGAATTTCAAAACAAATCTCTTGTTTATTTTTTGTGCATCTCGCAT